GTTGGGTCTTCCTGCCTCCTTCTTCTTCGAGCAGTCCCTCGAAATGTGCCCCTCCTCGTTGCACTCATAACAGACCTTCTTAGTGAACGTGCATTCGTTGGCATAGTGCCCAGGCTTTCCACATTTGAAACAAGTGACTCCTTCGTCACATTTTCCTTGGTGCTTCTTCTTGCATTTGTCACACCATTTTGCTTCGGCTCCTCCTCCTCTCGAACCAGACTTCAAGAATTTACTCTTCTTACCATACCTCGAGGATCCGTCAAATTTCCTTTTCTCTCCCACCTCCGCTTTCTCCATACCCTTCTCTCGTATCTGGGTCTCCACATTCTTAGCAACCTAGATGGTGGCTTTCAGAGTGATAGTTTGCTTGACCATTGGACTGAAGTCCACTGGTAATCCAAGGGCAAATTTGTTAGCCTTAGAGAGTTTAGTTGGGACGAGGTGAGGAACAAGCTTCATTTTCTCAGTAAAGCTTGCAACATATCCAGTAACGCTCATTCTTCCCTTCTTCAGATTCTGGAATTCGTTGTTGATCTCCAGAAGATCCTGCTCAAAGCAGTATTGCATTTTCAACTGCACCAGAAAGTTCTCCCACGACATCTTGCTTGCTTCACCTGTGGGCATTGAATCAGCTAGTAGCTTCCACCAGCTTAGTACTCTAGATTTCAACAGAGTAACCGCGAGAACAGTCTTCTGCCTGTTGCTACACTCGTAACTATCAAACATCGTATCCATCTCGGAGATCCAGTTCATGACTTCCACCGGTGTTGGGCTTCCAGATAGACATGGTGGTTTGGATGCCATGATATCCTTGTATTTTCATCCACGTCCGTCATTTCCTCCATCCTAGTGGTTTCGCCTCACTATCGGTGGGTAGGCTTGACCAACAGTCCCACTGTAGTTTCCTCCTTCTAACTGCCCATCATTCAGCTCGGGCTGTTCAGTTGGTACCGTAAGTTCTTCTCGGTTCTGTTGAAGTAAACGCCTTATTTCCTCTATTTGTCGATCCAACATCATCTGGATCATCGCTTGCACTCCGACCATCATTATTGGCTCAGGTGCCACTTCTACGACGACAAGTATTTGTTGAACCATTGGGGGTTGATTCCTATTCCCATTCGCATTCCTAGCTCCACTGCGGGTTCTCGTCATTTTGATCTATTCACCGAATAAGGTGAATTTAGATCTTTATTTAGGATAGACGTTTAAATCATCCTTATCACTCCAAAACGTTTACATGCTAGTTCTAATATCGTAGTCGTACGTTTAGAATCCTAAACACATAAGGTTTCCAGATCCGATCGGCAACAGACCATAGATTCGAATAAATAACAACATATAAGGCACAAAGCATTTAGCACATAAAAGCATTTTAGGCATAATTCCTAAAATAAGCTAGTGCACACACCTCACAATCATCACTTATTCTAAGTTTAAGTCTAGAAATCCTACAAATTCCTAGTTCGATTAAAATAATGCTCTGATACCAATTGTGACATCCCCATTTTTAAAACCGAGAATAGACCTATTTTGTTTATGCTTTGTTTGAAAATCAGAGTAACATTTTAAATAAAAGTGATGAGGAATTTGTCCCAAAACAATTTATGATAACGATTTATCAAAAGCATTTCCATAGAAATGTATTTCATTAAAATAATTGGGATGTCATGTTCGATACAGATCAAAAGCATAAATAGTACAATATAAGCCTTACTACATTATCTCATATCTACATGCCTATATCCGAAATCCCTCATCCATCTATGCTTGAACACCACTACCTGTAATACATGAAACTGAGTGGGTCAGCCTTGGGAGCCTGGAGAGCACATATGGTTTTCAACCCACAATAAATAAGTTTATTAATTTCATCAATCAACAATAACTCGACTACCCATTCCCGTTATCCTCACTTTACGTCCCTAAACACCTATCATAAGGGACCTAGCCTAAGGATCATCATCGGTATGGACACTATTGCTAAGGGGGTTTCTCACCAATAAATGTCCTAAAGGAAACCATGAGGGGAATGGAGTACACCGGTGAACACATCGTTCACAAACACCTACAGGTTGCGAGCCTGCTAGCGTTCCACTGGACTGTCTAGAAGAGTTCGTGGTCGTCATCTATACTCCGCTAGATGACAGAATCAACAATGTCAACATCGAGGCCTCTTATCATTTTATCACACATCACCTATTACGTCTACCCATGTTTTACCCCAACATTTTCGTAGGTATAAATTACATATACAATTTAAATCATTGAAAACATGTATCAAAACGTTCATCCAGCATAGATAGCAAATATTTAGATAATATGAACACATAACACGTAATTTATATAAAATACTTCATATCTATGTGTAAGCTGAAAGTAACTATGCACTCACTTGAAAAGGTGGTGATTCGATACTCGGACAACGCTTCGTTTACTTTAAAATAATTTCCTTCAACGAAACCTAGTATTATTACCACTAGATTTTAGTCTAATATTTACCGTGACTAACTATTAGTCTTATTGTTATTATTATTATATAAGCGTTTAAACAAAACTTTCCAACCACTATGTACAGACAGGGGCCAGACATAAAACACCAGAGGGCAGGACCATTTTGGCGTATAGCACTTCTGAAATCCAACAACCCTATGCGGCCCTTTAAACCAGATTCTCCGTACCGCGAGTAGTTAAAAAGATATTATAACAACACTTATATAAGTCATAATAATAGCTCAAATATTTATTATAAGTTCATAATAACAATATTAATTTTAAATATAAGCTATATTAAAATATGTTAAGCATAACTTACTTACAAGGGGATTTTAGCTAGGAATCGAGCTTTGCAGGGGCAGAACTTCGTCACTGAATCTTTCTAAGAAAGATTCGTGCAACGCTTTAACACTCACCTTACTATACTAAAAACTACAAAAAGAGAAGTCGAATCACGTGTGACCGAAATGCTTGGGGGATAAGGAGAGAAAGACTCTTGAATCAAGAGAATGGTGCAAGAAATATGAGAGTCCAAGGCTCTTATTTATACTAATTGAATTTTCAAAAACTACCCTCCATAATTACTTAATGATATTTTAGTTATATAAACAACTAAACACCCCTCTATAATACTATTTTAAATGGATTTAATGATATTTGTACTAAACTAATGTCGAAAGAACTCAACATTAGTCTTATAGTGACCACATCGTCGATACCTTTCTAATGATATATACATATGTATATATATGTGTACGTATATATGTTTTATACTTTATTTTAATACGTAAATATGTTATTATAATTTGTAACTCGTTCATACGAACTCTGTTTTTGACGTTCTTTATATCGACACGTAGGTGGAGACGTACTCTACAACTTTCGTTTAGACTTCGTCAGCTAATTTTGACTTTATTTTTAAAGTTATATTCTTAACAGGCCGGGACATGATTGGTCCGTTAAAATCTCATAACTTCTTCATACGAAGTCAGATTTGAAAGTTCTTTTTATGGACGCTCTTAGTTTAACATCTTCTACGACTTTCGCTTAGATTTCTAAGGCTAAAAGTCGCTCTATCGTAAGTTCACTATTTACGCTTCCCCGTGTCGCGCCGGTTCCGTCGTGAAACTTCGACGAGCCATAACTTCTTCGTTATAACTCGGATTTCGGCGTTCTTTATATCCCCATAATTCTTGTTTCGACCACTACAACTTTATGTAAAGATATCAGAATTATCTCACACTTTAATTTTGACGCTTATTTTTATTCATTATTTATTACACATTTATAAATAAGTAATGAAGATATAGATTCACGTAATTTACATAATACTCAAATATTTCATCTTTATTATCTCAATAAGTGTTGTAATAGTTGACCTAAACTATTACATCGTCTAAAAATGTTTAGTCCTAAAAACCCGGGCGTTATAGTGGTGGCAGATGAACGGGATTCCAACAGTTCTTGGTGCATTAGCTTGTGGTTGCAACGATTGTACAGATGATGACAACCTGCCTAGAAGTGGTTGATGAATATCGTCTAGTGGGAGAGGCGGAGAAGTATTAATCATCGATAAATATCGTCTGATGGGGTGTAAGAGACGGAGAAGTGACTGAGTTGATCTATATAACTTAGTTTTTAATTATTTTAGAGGCAAGAAAAATGGTCGTGTTTTAAAAAAAATCAACAGTTATATGGTTAGATTTAACAGCAGAGTGACTACTAATGAAATTTCTCTAAACCACGACTCTTTGAGGACACAACCTATCAACTTTTTAAATTGGGGATCAAGATGCGAATTTAAACGAACCACGGGGACCAAATCTTTAATTCACTCTATTTTTTATGAATAAATAAAATTATATTGTACACGTAGTAGAAAAACGTACGGGAAGAAGACAACAAAATAACCATATGGATCTATGAATAATCAAATCAGTAGTTGCTATGGCGCCCCTCTTTTTAGACAAAACCACCTCCACATGAGTAAGACATGACCTCATCCCGTCTTTCCTTTCTTTTAGTTTTAACTTTTAACAAGAGAAAAGACAAAATTGCAAAAATGGTCCCTGTGGTATGCATTTTTTCCGGTTTTTGGTCCAAACCTCGATTTTTTTGGATTGGTGGTCCTTTTGACCTAGTTTCGTTGTGTATTTGATCCCTCCAAATATTGAAATGACTGTTATGCCCTTCTTTTATTTATTTTCCACTTTTTGAAAAGATTTAATTCTTATTAAATAATTTTTATAATTAAAAATAAAAGGGCCCACCTCTCTCACTCTCTCTCATTTCCTTTCCCCAATTTCCATTTCGATTTCAATTTTAGATCTGCAGGTGGCCTTTCTCTCTTACGCATCTTTGTTTTTGCCCTTTTTTCTAAACCTACAACTGAAGGACAAACACACAAACACACCACTGAAACTTGAACTTGAAGGACAAACACCTCACACACATTGAAGGCGACAAATATAAATTTACTAATCCCCATCCTCAACACACCATTCTCAATGAACCATCACCGAAGGAAACGGAGAACAAAACAGTCCACCACCACCACCGCTGATGGTGCTGACCCAAAACTTAGTAGTCTGAAGACATGAAGTGCATTCGTCACCTGAAACATATGAAGTATAAAGCCAGCTTGCAAGAAAACGGGTTTCCATATCCATCGTTCTTCCTTTAATCGTGATTATGTGTTCTTCTCTACATTCGAAACTAAATCCCATATGAAATTAGGAGTCACGACTGTGGAGGCGTCTAGGTTTGGGACGAAGAAAAAGAAAGACGAAAGGGGGCTCATCGGAGGTTACGTCAAACTACACTCAATCAATATGCACTCCTAGAAAAATCAAAACAAGGGTTACCTGTCTATTTGTTGGAAATGTCGGTCTGATCTTCATAAAGGGAAACTTGAAGGAAGTCAGTGAAGAAATTGCCAAGTACAAGGTCAAAGCTCCGGTGAATGTGGTTGTTCCACCCGACAACACTAGTCTTGATCCATCTCAGTCCCCTTTCTTCCAGGTTCTCAACATTTCTACCAAAACTACAAAGGTACTGTGGAAATCATCACCCCTGTTGAGCTCATCAAGAAGGGTGATAAAGGTGGGATCTTTCAAAGCTGTAAACTTGGCATCATGCTATTCTCATATTGTCTTATTGTTCTTACTGTGTATGACAATCGATATGTATTTAGTCTTTAAGGTTCTTGATTTGACCGAAGAAGACTTGATTGAAAAGTTTGCTCTTTGTGTTTTAAAGGTGTTAAATGGGAAATTAAATTCACAAGAAAGACTTGGAAAGCTCCATCGATTTTAGTTACAGGTTCTAAGAGAGAGAGAGAGAGAGAGAGAGAGAGAGAGAGAAAAGTGGGCCCTTTTTATTTTTAATTATAAAAATTAGTTAATAAATAATTAAATCTTTTCAAAAACTAGAAAATAAATATAAGAAGGGCATAACAGTCATTTTAATATTTGGAGGGATCAAATATACAACGAAACTATATCAAAAGGACCACCAATCCAAAAAAATTGAGGTTTGGATCAAAACAAAAAAAAAATACATACCACAGGGACCATTTTTGCAATTTTGTCAAGAGAAAATAAAAGAAGATCATTAGAACCTTTATCATTATTACTGAGCTTGCTAAACATATATGAAACGAAACTACCATTTTAAGCTTTTAACTAGTCGTAAGTTACTTTAACAAAAAGACCAACTCTTTATTTATTTTCTGTTGTTTATCAATTTACTTAAAAATAATAAAATATTAGAATGCTGGTATTTCAATCTTCACCTCTTAATTCAAAAGA